CAAGTTATTTTATGCAAGCCATAAATATGCACTTTACACTTTGCACATTTCTTTTTCTTTACCTTACTAGCTCTGTCTCCCTTCCTCTCTCTCCCGCTCTTGCCGTCTCTTTCTCTTTCTCTGTTAGCCTTTTTAATGTGTGCGCACAAGCAAAAAACAAACAGCCAGCCAGAGGATACAGATCGAGTATCTCTTAGCTCTTCGAGGAAGACAAAGTGTGTGAGCGAGAGAGAGAGTGAGAGAGAGAGAGGTGGAAGGGAGAGAGCAACATGTCCCGTAGTGTCTGCCTGCATACAAATTATGTACAAACATGTTTTTCAGAAATGTTCAATTCATTATCGCTAACAAATGCCGATCATGTTTGTGTTCAACACACACACACACACACACACTCGCACACACACACACAGTAAACAGTTCAAAGCACTTTTAGCAGCTCAAAAATTATTGCTGGACTGCAGAAAATCTAAAACGTCTGGCAACTGCATTTGAAATTGGGTCTGCAGAGACTTTATGAAGTGTAGGAGGGAGGAGGGAGGAGGAGAAGGAGGAGGAGGAGCGGAAGGGAGCAACTACTGCTGCTGCTGCTGCCGGGCTCAACTCGGTAGCCGTTTGCCATCCAAAGCACTTCGATGCTCAAATCTCTGCAGCTCCGACAGTAATTGCTGTTGAGCTAAGTGATATGCCATGTACCAGCTGCAGCAACAGCAACAACAACAGCAACATCAGCAACAGAATCTGAATCTGAATTCAAATCCGAATCGGAATATGTATTTGTGTGTTCAGGCCTAATCAGTTTGAACAGGGGCAACAAACAAAGGGCAGCTAGCCCCTAGTCTCTGCCTCTGCCTCTGCCTCTCCTCTCTCTTTACTTAATACACAATTTCCGCTTACAATTTAGTGGCACTCGAAGCGAACAAAAAGCGTAAAGCGTAGCAAACCTGATGAGAGTTGCGACCCTTTCCCCCATACATATGCACATACATATATATATGTATATACATGCTTATAAGTATATGTTACCCCTTCCCTATATACCCTATATTGCCCTTTCTAAGTGTGCGTGTCGCTGCGTCTGCGCACAAAAAGCCGAATTAAATTACAGAACGTGCTTCATTCATTCAAAAAAGAAGAAGAAGAAAGAAGCTGAAAGAACAATCAAATAAAAATAAATAAAAGCAAAGTAAAAGTGTTTGAAGTGTGTGTGAAGTGTTTAGTGCCAAGCTGCCAGATACCTCGCAAGGCTTTGCTTTACTCTAAATTCTAATTCAAACTCTCAGAATTCAATATAAACAAAAATAATATAAGAACAGACCTAAAAATCGAATTCTCATCTCTTCAATTATTTTCTTTTCTGATTGATCTCCTCTAATATTTAAATCATCTCTTAATTTTCTTTCCTTCCAGTTTATCATAATTTTATTTCAGCTTCCCATTATATCAATTCTTTGATCTTTGCCTAACTTATGCATCATTTAGCATTTCTAATCTCTTATCTTTAATCTAAACATCTTATTTCTTTCAATTTAGAATTTCTTATATTTACCTAAAAAATTTTGCCCCTCAGCTCTTCTGTCTTCCATCATATCTTCAACTTCCATCAATTTCCAACTCTCACACATCTGTTCTTTTCATTCTTAAGCTGTGAGATATCCTGTAAAATATTTTAAGCTGTTTTCTGTCTGTCTGCCTAAAGTGCTTTAAGTTGACATCATATCAAAGTAATTCTTCCCACTCAATCTTTACTTTTCTAATCTCTGAATTTCGAAATTTTCATCTCAATTTGATTTTTTTGATTGCTGATAAAAGTGTTGAGTGGGGCAGACAGTTTACGTATTTGTTTATTTTTTTTTTTTTATTGACAATTGAAAAGAAATGAATACAAAAGAAAAAATAATAATAATAATAAAATTAAAAATGATTTTTTCACTAAAAAAAAAAAAAAAAAAAAATACTACAAATTAAATAAATGAAATACAAAAATTTTAATTAACAAGGGAATGATGATTGTGTTAAATACAACCCGCTAAAAAAATAACTAACTAACTATTTATACTTTTTCGTTTTATTTACTAACACAAAATAATTGAGAATCATAAAAGTAATGCCCATAGCTTTATAAATATGAATAAATATAAAATCTGTTAAGCAGTTCATAGTTTCTCCCAGAAAATATTTAATTTTTACAATCGTAAACAAATTATGTTCTAAAGCGAAATGGCACTAAGCTTTTAATTTTTCAAACAAATTTAATTTCTCAAAAATTAATTACGAAAATTTGTTCATAAATATAGCCAAATAAAAAAATAAAACATTGTTTTCTTAAAAATATAAAATTATAATTTATTTCTTTATTTTATTTATATTTTATTTTCTTTTTTATTCATTTTAGTTCACTTTTATCTTGTTTTTTTTTTTTTTTTTTTTTAATTTTAATTTATTTTTTAAATATCTCGATCTAAGAATTGAATTTTCCTCTGGCTATGTTACAAATTTATAATCCTTTTACTCTAAATCAAATATTTTAATATTCATTTTATCATTTCTATTTACGTTTATCTATTTCTTTAACTCTTGCTCTACCAAAAATTTTTAATTTCGAAAGAAAACACTTCATTTTATAGGGTATACGAACTCATCAAACGCCACTTCACTCACACGCAGCTAAGATTCTTTGCAGCGAATGTTTTAAGTTTCATTATTAAACACACGCACACACACTTAAGCACTCACACATACTAATGGAGAGAAGAGAACGCACAGCTTGAGAAATTAAAAGGCAATTAACATGCAACAAGGCAGCTGCAACTGTGAAGTTGCAAGTAGCAGAGGGTAGGAGGCAACCAAGAGGCCAGAGGGCGCCCTCTGCTGTTGCTGGTGCTGCCACGCCGTGGGCTCAACATACGTATATTTTTTACGGCTTCTCTACAAAAATCAGCTGCAAATGTGCGTAGTAATTTTTCGCTGATTGATTCAAATAATAAAAAAAAAAAAGAACGTTTGCCAGAGTCAAAGTTGCTGCAGCTTGTATGTAGGTCACTTCAAGCAGAGATAAAGATAGAGAGAGATGGAGAGAGAGAGGGGGATGGATGTAGACACCCACAGCTAAATGTGTTGTGCGTGCCACGCTGCGTATGCGTAACGCAAATTAACATAAATTACACTTTAGACACAGCAGCAACAATTGCAACAGCAACAGCAACAACTTGTTGATAAGCAACACACCAACACACACATACACACCACACACACACACATGCAGACAGTTTGTCAAGAACACATTTCGATTGTAAGTCTCAATAAGTTTTCAATTCGATTTCATATTTATTTTTCCATTCTCAAGTCTGCACTTGGTCGACAGCCCACACTTAGTCTTTGGCTTTGTTTGTCATTGAGTGACCAAATCCAAAAGCCTCTTATCGAGTGAAGGTTCTTAAAGTCTTAGCGTAGGTCGAAGGACGCATTTCCGTACTTATTTCTCATTTTTTTGTTTTTTTTCGTAAACAGACAAAGCAAAACACATTCCAATTTACAGTGCTAATTGCCTGAAAGTTCAGGGACGCCACTTGGTAGAAAACCGTTATGCAAAAGTAAAAATACAATTTTACAACTATAAAGTTTGAGCTTTGAGCTCTGCATAATAAAAAACAATTGTTGGAAATTACCTCAAACTATATAAAAATAAGATATTGTAAAAGCTTTGATTAAGTATTTTATGGGCAAATATTCAAATATTTCTCTGACTAATCACACTTTAAGGCACTTCACTTCACTGAGATTAATTTATAGACATTTGATTAATTTATTTGATTATTATTTTGCTGTTGTTATTCCTGTTGCACATTTCTTGTTGGCGTCACAAAAAAACCTGCGAAATACGAAAGGTTTCGTTTCGTCTTCGCTGCTTGTGTTGTTTCTTGTTGGATTTTGTTATTATGATTTTTTCTGTTTTGCTGTTCGGTTTTCAGCCGCTCACAAGACTGCGCGCCGCGAATTCAAATCTCAAACTGACAAAACCCGAAGCCGAACAGCAATGCGACTTATTTCGACCTATTCGTGCAATTCGACCAATTCGCTTGGGCGCACGAAGTTGTGGGCAATCCAATTGGTAAAGCGCATGCATGTTATACTCAGGATGGCACTGCTATGCTCAGTTTGGCACTGCTAAGCGTGCGGAGTTGAGTGCGGCGCGTTTGCCGGTTTTTCGTTTATACCTAATTTAACAGTGACCAGGGCTGCGCTAACAGAGTTTTGATTAGGGAATTGTTTGATTAGATTTATTAATATTTTTTATTAGAGATATGTATAAGTGGAATTTTGGGATTTAAGATTCGCGCAAAGTCTTTGAAATATGTGTTCTTAAGAGCTGTTTTGGTGTTTAAATTTTTTTTAGAACTTTCAATTTTGTAAAAACTGGACATTAACATTTTTTTTTTTTCTGCAGTATTTGCTATTTTTTACAATTTTTACCTTCCATTTTATATATGTATAGCACAGTTTTAATTAGTTCTTTTGTGTGTTTTCCTGCATGCCCCATAAATTATTTATCTTACGATCCGAGTTTTTTTTAGGTCATCGGCTAGCTTTATAGCACATTTACATAGATCTGTCTGTAAGTAGCCATAAAGAATGCGCTATTGTTCGATTAAATATGCACAGGCACATAAACTATGCCCATTCCTCGATTTCGCGATTCCCAATCCCCAATCCCCTATTCCCGATTCCCATTCCCATTTCAGAGTTCTGCCTACACCCATTCTGAAACCCCCTGCCAATGGCAGTGCTATTTTCATTTCCATAGCTGGAGATCGTTAAATTGCTCATGCGCTAATTTGCGAGCCTGCGAGAATGAGAGAGAGACAGAGCTAGAGATAGAGGGAGCGAGCATCTACTAAATGATAGATCTCTGTGCTGCGATCTCTTCTTTAAGGGTTCTCGAATTGGGCTGGGGCCCAATTGTAGGGCATCCGCATGGATTCAGTGTTCGGTGGGGCACTTACCTCGCCAATTTGATGAGTGGCGCGCAGCGTTGCGGCAATTTGCGCAAATTTGCATAGGTAACGCTGCTCGAAGCGCGGCAGGCAGCCATCGTATCTCAGGGCGAGCAACTCACGTGCCTGGCGCATTAAAATCGCACGCGTGCGTGCCCAGTAGACGGGATAAATGTGCGACAGATGCCTGTCAATCAGCTCAGCCAGCTGGACCCCATCCGCATCCATGTGGCATTGATTTGTGGCAACTGTTGGTGCCTGCTCGCCAATCACAAATGAACAAATTAAGGGCTTAAGTTAGTTGTTGATCTAGCAATTGTTGTTGTTGATGTTGTTGTTGCTTTTGGATGGATAGTTACCTCTTGCAATGGTACCTTTTGCTCTGCCATCTCCTCCTGCTGCTGCTGCTGCTGCTCCCTTGGCTCTTCATCGGTTTCAGATTCGCTGCTGCTGCTGCTGCTGCTCGACTCCTGCGGCGCTGTTGGCGCTCGGCGCAGGCTTAAATCAATCGGCAAGCAGTCCACGTAGGCGCTCGCTGAATCTCTGCTGCCACAGCTGGAGTCCTCTGCCTCCTCCTGCTCCTGCTTGGACTCATTCTCCTGCTGCTGCTGCTGCTGCTGCATCGTGGGTGCTGTTCCTTCGTTCTTGATCAATGTAATCGTTGCTGTTGTCGTTGTTGCTGTGGCTGGAGATGTTGCTCTTGTTGCTGTTGCTGCTGCGTCTGCAACTGTTGCTGTTACTATTGCAACATTGGTTGCTGTTGCTCCTGCTGTTGTTGCCGTTGCTGTGGCTGTTGCTGGTCTGCTCTGTTGACCCGTTAGCCGTTGCTTGCATTTCTTTAGATAGCTGCGTACACGCGACTTGCTGCGGCTCGCAGTTGCTGCTGCTGCTGCTGTTGATGTTGTTGTTGTTGTTGCTGGGCATTGACAGCACACATAATTAGCATTCGTTTTGGCCAGCTCCTCCTCCTGCCGCAGCTCCAGCTCCTCTTGCATTTCCTCCTCCTCTTCCGACTCCTCCTCAACAAACTCGTCGCGCGCTATTGGCGCTGTGTGGCCCGCTCTGGCCTCGTTCATGTTGTTGTTGTTGTTGTTGTTGTTGCTGGCTGTGTCCGTGTTCATGTTGTCCATGTCGATGGCAACTGCTGGCGGCGCCGACATCGCGGCCGGGCCATCGATTTGAGTGTCACTCAGCACCAAGATCTCGCTTAAATGGCCCTGATCCACAAATTCAGCTCCTGGGTCGCTGTTTGTTGTTGTTGTTGTTGTTGTGGCTGCAGTTGTTGATGTTGTTGCTGCTGCCTTGTTTGTGTCAGT